CACATTAAAATCCTTAAGAAGGCATCTTTAAATGACACCAAATCTGATATATGCTTAAGCATGCAATATAAACTGCATCTCAATTCCCTACTACGCTCATTTTAAATACATTTTTAAATAAATTGTGGATGGTGGTAAGGGCAGCTCCAGAAGGATCTTGGAAAACAAAAACAAAAAATGGCAATTGGCAAATTTAAAGTCCCGGTTTGATTGACGACTCTGTGTTTCATAGTTTCCTGTCAAAATAAAACTGTAAAAGTATGTTGATTTCTTGCATACTAACTGCATATACAGTACAGGAGATACCACGCTTTATATTTGTCAGCTGACCCTCATATACCTTATCTCTAGTCCTGCAGGTAAGAACATACACAGCTGCTGCACGTGTTCTTTAACTGGCGTCTGATGGTGATGTTTTCTTTCTTGTGTCTAACAGGCTGGTGCTGGATCAGCAGCGCCCTCTGCCTGACCGCCGCTCTTACATGCTGACTGTTCGCCACGCTCTGACCAGGAAACTGACCCGATCTAAGACCATGCAGTGGTGACCAGCAGCGAACAAATTCAGGTGTTTTTACTGCGGGACATTTGAGAAAACTGTGTGCTGTCTTACCCACACCAATTCCAGCTCAGAAGAAGGAATAATGTGTCAACAGGTGAAGAGTTGGGTGAACTTCAGTAATGGGCAATCACATCAGCTCCTGTCCTCTACTTTACAAGCAGCAGACAGTTTAATGGGCCTGGATGAGAGTCCAAGGCTGTTCATCAGAGGTGAAAACACAGTGGCCCAAATACACTTTCAAAGACAGAGGATGTCCTCTTTTAAAGATATAATATGTAACATTTCTGCACTATAAACACTAGACCTATGTTTTATATTATGTTGAGTTGTGCACTTACATTACTCTAAATGTTTCCAACAATGTTCAAACTCAGAGAAATATGTCATTTTATTCAGGTAATGTTGTTATTGTTTTAGTGTGAGAGACCCCCGTAGTGGCTGCAAATATATATTTTATGTTTAGGTTGAATTTTAGTGTTAGATCAAGTTATTTTAGAAGACAGTGTCTGTGCAGTTACACAGGTACAAATACATTAACTTGAAGTACAAATAAAATATGTTTCTCTTATTACAGACTGTTGCATATGTTTTGCACTCAGTTCCACACTCATCTTTTTAGGATTATTTACTGTATTAAAGGAGAGCTCCTGCATGAGAGCTACCATTTACATGAAAGCATGACATTTCTGTCAGGAAGAGTTTATACCCTAGTTGTTTGCTCCATTCTCCAGTAGAGGGCAGTACAGTCATTTCATCTGGTGCACACTCACCACAGTCCCACAGCACATCAAATGCACAATTTTACCAAAGGCATATGAGTACCACCGTCCGGTTTGGTGTGGAAGACTCCTCTGCACCGAGCTCTGACCTCAACCCATTCAAATTAGACCTTATGGCCCAACATCGGTGAGATCTTGTGGAGTCCATTCCCAGAAGAGTGGAGGCTGCAGATTAATGCCCATGGTTTTGGAATAAGATGATTTATGTTGGTGTGTCCACATTCTTCAGAATGCCTCAACTTCAAAGTTTCTTTTTATAATTTTACATTTTGGTGTATAATCTGTACCAGAGTTTAACCAATCAATAAATGAACCAGCCACTGAAGGTAAAACAGTAAATCTTGCTCTTGTTAAAGGAGTTTGTGTAGATGATGTAACAGTGTGTAAAGAATGAGGCTGGCTTTGATTACAGTCTTGGCATTATTTAACTTTAGTCTCTGTATTCCTTTCCATGTATGTCTTTCTCCCTACTCATTTCTCACTCTGAACTCCTGAACTTTATGATCAGCAAGAGACAAATGAAAAAAAAAGAGAGAGACAGGAAAAAGCAACTCAGCGAGCTGCAGAAAATAAGACAGACTATAACAGGCAAGGAAAACATTGGGCTTCTTTGGCATCTTTTTTTGTCTGTATGGAGCAGAGAAAGGAAAGAAGAGATGCTCAGTTGCAGCCATACTCAGTCTGACTACACTGTTTATACGCACTGCTTTAACTCCAGCCTCTCGTAAAAGCATTATGGGAAGATTGACTGTGTGCTTACTCTCCATCCCATCACTCTGTCCACCCCCACGACCATTTACCATACATCAACTACTCCACCCAGCTACCACCAACCAACCAACCACAGAACCGCTCTTTACAAGCACAGAGGATGAAAATGTGCATATAGTTACAGATTTTCATTATATCAGACCCCATTTTTGACACAATTTATGGCCGGTGTTTTTTCACCATTAGACATTCAGTGTATCTGCATTGTGTAATTGAATCATTTGAATCTCTACATGGTAGTTTTCATTGTTACTGGCAGTCCAGCTTTGCTTTCCTGCACAGGATTCAAATTGTATGCACACAGGTTTTTCTGAAAATGATGAATGCATGTACTAGATGTAATAGAGAAGACAAGAGAGAGAGCCAATGTTGGGCATTTGAAAGTCAAATTGTAGCTGTTGACTGTCTTCTATATTTTTAAAAATGTGATGTGGTGAATCCTTGTTGTTTGCATTGTAAACATACACAAGTTTCTCTTCTTCTGTTGCATTTCTGACAGAGTAGCTACTCCAGGTGCCTTTGTTGCTGCCTTGGGTTGATTCACATGTCATTTTGAACAGACCTGTATTTTTAAAACACACATGCTGTTACTACCACCACAGGTGTCACCAAATCAACCATGACTTTAATCTTGCGGATTATAAAGTAAAATTGTAGTATTTGCCACAAAAGAAAACATTAAAAAGGAAGATTTTGCTTAGATACAAATATTTTCTACAGTTCTACAACAAATTACACGTTTGTTATTGACCCTTTCTAAGCCCTTTTGGTTCTTGCTCCACTGTTATTATTTCTGTCCGTTTTTATTAGCATTAATTGTCGCAATATTACATAAAACTGTAAATCCCTATTGAGTGTTAAAGTTCAATCTTGACTCAAGGTCTTCAAAGATTTTAGAATGCTCCATCAAAAACAATAAAGTGTTTAGTAGCTTGTGTTAAAGTACAGTGTGTAGGATTTAGTGGCATCTAGTGGTGAAGTTGTAGATTGCAACCTTTTGAATACAGCTCAGCCTTCAAAGCGTGTAGGAGAAACTACGGTGGCTTTGAATAATGCTAAAAATGTAAAAGGCCCTATCTAGAGCCAGTGTTTGGTTTGGTTAGTTCAATATGGTGGCCTGTGTAGAAGATGATCCGCTCCCTCTGTAGAAAAACAGCTCATTATATGGTAGAAAACCCAACAGATCATATTTTCAGGTAATTATACACTAATGAAAACATACCTGTGAATACTGTAGACCATTTCTGACAATAGATCCTCCTAAATGTTACACACTGAACCTTTAAGATTATTTTCTTTATATACTGATTTATTGTTCTATTTCTCTGCATACCTCGGTCCTAATGGCACTAGTTTTATTTCAGGTGAGGCAGTATGTTGGATGGTTGTGGTGGTGGCTGAGGGGGTCCTGCTCGGGGAACAGTCTTGTGCCGACCCTGACTAATAATTTAATGTCAACGCACATAGGAAAATAGAAGTCATTAACATCAAAATATGAATTTATATTCACCACCATGAGTGGGTGCTACAGTGAATACACTCCAACCTCTTAACATGGTCAGGACTAATAGTAATTGTCTGGTAGTGATAGTGTGACTGAACCCATCTGACTCACTCAGACACATATAAACTGTGTTCTCCACCTCTGTGCTTTGTGATGCCAACAAACCTGAGAGGATCTGAGACAGATAGAGAGAGACAGAAGAGGATGATGAAAACAATGAATGTGCGGAGAGGTGATGTCATCACAGCGGTCACCAAGGAGACGAAAGGTCAAAACCCCAACTCACCTCTTTGGCTCAGAATAGAGGATGAGTCATACTTGCATCATTACACCAGCAGCCAATCAGAGAGCAATCTGTCATAGCCTGCATCAACACATGACCAACCAATCAGAGAGCTATCAGTTGCATTGAAACAGACAAAAACTCAAGCTTTCGGATTTTTTGTTTGTACTCATCAGATTTATTTAAAATAAATGCATCTATCTAATGTATTGATGTAATCCTGACTGAGGTATTATTTGGAGCCTGCTCTTACGCATCCTCGACTGTGAACATACTTTCCATACAAGCTGACTGCTGATTAGACCCGCTGAGTACCTAGCAGTTTTGAACTGAGCTTCTCTTACCTTGCAGACAGCTGCTTGTTTCTGTTTATCCCACCACAGTTTAAATCATGCTGACGTGATATGAATACAAACCAATGGCTGCTCCCAGCACTATTCAACAATCTAAAACACAGAAAAAACTTAGTAAAATTATTAGCAATCAATATCATCAAGAGTAGAGCAGTTCCCCTCAGAGCCATGGAGCGTAGGGTGGAACGTTGTACCAAGCAACAGACAGCGGCTTTTCAGTGGAAAAGCTCTTATAAACCCATTGTACACCTGCCCAGGATCAAACAGCAGACAGTCACTGACTAGTTGAACACAATGGAGCATTTAGCAGCTACAGAGCTAAGAGGAGATATGGAGACCAAAACAGGGCTAAAAGCAGACTGAATATTTGATTTACCTTTCCCAGGTACCCAGAAATACAACTTAGGTGAAGAATGACAGGAAAAGGGAGGACAGTTACACCAAGGACTCATCTTTGGTATATAGGTTGCCAGCTCTACCAGGTGAGCTACCAGGGAGTCCCAGAAATACAACTCTGAATGAATGCTAATGTTGCTCCATGTCTTTGCTAAAATGTTCTCCATAACAACTTTAGTATTAGGTGATAATATGTCAATGATGTGTTTATAGCTTGTTCCACTGCCCCCAAGTGGCCAAAAAAAGAAAAATGTATGCAGCTTTAATATTTCATATTGACGACACAAGTGTGCTTTAATAATACGTCCCCAGTTCTATTGAAAACACTTAAGATGATGCTTAAGAAAATACTGGCTATGAATAATATATACAATCTATTTTCATTTGAGAGAAATGTTTCGGATTATACATTTTTTAATTATAACATTTTATAAGTTTTGGATTTCATAGTACAATTTCCCTTTAGCACTTCGCACTGTGTTTCCTCATCATGTTGAATACATTTCCTATGCTCTATAGAACTTTTGAATATTTAACATTGGCTTATGGTCTTCTTTGTCTCCTCTTTAACTGGCACATTACTGCCATCTGCATTTGCCACCCCTTCTTCTAAAACAAATTATACAAACAAAACAGGGGTTGTCTCATCAACAAATTGCTCCACAGTGCCACCAGTGGTCAAAAACAAAATAGGGTACCTTTAAATTTTAAATTAGGCTTAGTTAGGGTTTAGGAGAGAATTACTGTAGTTAGTGGAAGGTCACCACAGCTATACAACACCAATGTGTGTGAGAAAAATAGTGACACCCTGTCCCCTGGGATGGGACACCTCCGTAAGCTGATATCTGGAAGGAGAAAGGAGACAGAGGAAAGAGGAGGGGTGGAAGCAGAGAGAGGAAGAATGGGCGATAAGGAAAAGGCTGAAAAAAGAAAAAGCAGGAAGGGAATTAGAAGAAGTGTGGTTGAAAGAGGTTGTAGAGTAACAGGAGATCATTATATAACGGTTAGTAACTATTGTTTGAATGGGGACATAAAAAATACACACCAATACCTGATGGTAATCATTGTAGTTCAGATTTCTGTCTCCTAGCCTCTACCAAATCCTCTGCAATAACCTTGATATGAACAATGCAGTCAGGGGTAAATGCATGAAAATATCAAGCAACCTTGTTTCCAAACATCTCTCTGTGGGTTTGTGAAGGGGATCAGGTATTTCAGTCTGGACCTAGTTCCAGTCATGTGTAAAATATTACTTCTGAAGGACCCAGAATTGAGCCATGCTGTACTCCACTTGCAATCCTCTTA